CCCCGGTCCTCCGGTACCTCGGTACCACCGGACCCCCAAACCGGACCCCGGTACCCCTGTTCCCCGAGGAGCTGCCCTCGCCGGGGCTTCCCGTGCGCCCGGCCCCGGCGCCGTCAGTTCGCTCCTCCGTCCGCCGAGCCCCCGCCCGCCGCCTGGGGCACGGCCGCTCTGCCCATCTGCGCCTGGAATACAGAGCCAGCGCAGAAAGCGGATTATTCCTTCGCTGCCAGCTGTTTCCAGCAGCATGGCCACCCTCGCTCCACGGCAGCCCCGAAGCCACGCACCCCCGCCCCAGCCATGCCCCAAATCTTCCTAGAGGACAGGCAACTGGGAGATCTTCATCCGATATGTCGTCATGGCTTTGGGGAGATGATGGCTGGGCAGCAGTCCCCAGTCTGATTGTGGCTTTCATCAGCCATGTGGGAGCAGACTCATCTGCCCTCAGCTCCTCTCAGTGGTAGCCACCCAGCTGCTGGGCAGATGTCCTCTAGGTGTCCCTTATATCTTCAGCAGCAGCCACTGGTGCCAGTTCTCACCCCTATGCTGCCATCCCTAGCAAAAGCTTTACTCACTGAGGGGCTCCTCTGGGCAGGGACCCAGTCATGGGTCTGCTAAAGCTGGCAGCTTGTTTGCATTTCAGGGTATGGATGGCGAAGAATGTGCCAGAGGTTGGGCACGATGCAACGTGCTGTGGGTACACATGGCAGGTAACAGAATATCAAACTGCCACCTGGGGCCTGTGGCATTCTCAGGATACACTGGGATGCTCATGCTCCAGGCTGAGCCTGCAGAGCACAGCTCACTGTGGCAGGGAATGTGTCCGTGTCCCAGTCCACAGCCCTGGTGCACATCAGTCCTACTGGCCAGCCTCCTTCAGGCTGTCACCCAGCCAGACACCCCTCTGCAAGACAGGTCCCTGGTCAGGGAGCCCTGGTCAACAGAAACTTTTTGCTGCAGGAGGAGCTATGAGCATGGCAGCTGTGCCAGAGAAGTCTCAGCACAACCATCCCATGGCACAGGATCCAGGTGCCCAGAGCAGGGATCCCACCTACTGGGGTACTGTTGGGAAACATTAGCCCTGGTGTTGTGGGGGCCAAGGAGACAGGGACTGCCTGGGTGCTTGGGAGTACCAGAGGCTGGCGTACCTGGAGAGTGATGAGCACTAGCAAGGAGACATCCCCCAAAACGAGGGGCCCAAGACATCAGGGATAGCACAGGTGACACATTAACCAGACAGAGCAGGCAACCAAGGGTAGAGTCCAGACTGGCAGGGGGGAGCACTGAATTCTGGGTCAAGGTCCGTGGGGAAACTGGACACTGCTGGCACAAGATACACTGTGCTGCAATGCTGGCAGCTGCTCAGGCAGCCTGCACTGCTCCTCTTCTCTGGGCTCAGCTCCTGGGGACAGCACATCGTGCCATGGCCACCAGCCTGCTCCGCGTTCCCCCGCCGGAGGAGCTGCTGCGGCCCCTGGCCGTGCCAGAGAGGCTGCTGCTCGGGCCAGGGCCCAGCAATGTACCCCGCCGCATCCAGGCTGCTGGCGCTCGGCAGCTCCTGGGCCACATGCACCCTGAAGTGCTGCAGGTGAGCTGCCCCAACCCAGCTTTCCTTCCCTCCCCTCCTCTTCCTCACCCCCAGGAGAGGTTAGAACAGCTCTGCTGGGGCAAGAGGAGCAATGGCAGTGCTGGCCAGCGTCCTGCTGCCACAGGTAATGGATGAGATCAAGGCAGGTATCCAGTACGCCTTCCAGACACAGAACCAGCTGACTTTGGCCATCAGTGGCAGCGGCCACTGTGCCATGGAGGCTGCCCTCTTCAACCTGCTCGAGCGAGGTGACACTGCACTGGTGGCCATCAACGGCATCTGGGGACAACGTGCCGCTGATATTGCCAGGAGGCTGGGTATGCTGGGAGCAGGCAGATAGCATGGCAGGGCTGAGGGGACTGGGCTTGAAGACAGGGTGCTTCCCCAATCCTGTCCCAATCCTGATAGTGCTCAGTGACACAGCTCACACAATCAGAGAGCACTCTGCTAGAGAGCACTCCAGTTTTTTTCCAAGAATGATGCCGCTCCATTTATGTTGTTTTGGCTTTATGGCTTTTCCACTGGGCAAATCTGCAGGAGGTCAGACCCTGGCAGGTGGCTCTGCTCCTGTTTCATGCGTGACCAATTGCCCCATGGAGCAGGTGTCTGCCCAGTCAGAAGCATGCCCAAACCTCATTCTCCTCTGCCTAAATTCCTCCCAGGAGCCAATGTCTATGAGCTGCTGAAGTCCCCGGGCAAGTATTTCACTCTGCAAGACATCGAGCAGGTGAGTGCCAGCCACTATGCAGAGGGCACAAGCTGACCTCCAGTGTGGTCACCTTCCCTCTGTGTCATGCAGGGCCTGGTGCAGCACAAACCTTTGGTGCTCTTCATCACCCACGGCGAGTCTTCCACGGGGGTGCTGCAGCCACTGGAGGGGCTGGGCGAGCTGTGCCACCGGTCAGTGCATGACCAGCACCCGCGGGGATTGAGGGCACCCCAAGGTCACCACTGGGGATTTGGGCCTGCTGATTTATCAAAAAATGATTAAAATTTTGACAAATTTCTCAAAAAAAATTATTAAAAGTGCTGGGCTTTTCTCTGGCTCTGTTGTACTGGAAGCAGTGCCAGTGAGACACGCAGTCCCTGTGGGGACCAGGATGCCAGGGCTGCAGGCAGAGGTGTAGCAAGAGGAGGTGGCAGGAACACGAGGCTGAGCTCTGTTCTCCCACAGGCATGGCTGCCTGCTGCTTGTGGACGCAGTGGCATCTCTTGGGGGAGCCCCCATCTTCATGGACCAGCAGGGTAAGAGCCACAATGCCATCATGGGCATCCAGGGGATGAAGGGGCTCATGCCTGGGACAGGGAGAGAGAGCAGTGGCATTAGCCCCTCCGCCTGCATTTTGGCTAGCAGCACTAAAAACTGGGGACCATCAGCAGTGCCAGGGGCCCTCCCAAAGCAGCCTGACCACAAGTAGGACCTGCCATGTGTGCCATCCTTGTGCTTTCCATCCACCACTTGCATCTAGGTCGGAGGGCTCAGCATTTTCCTGCTGGGAGCCTCTGGCTCCTAAGGCCTTGTCTTCCCTCTTGGGCAGAGATCGATGTCCTGTATTCAGGGTCCCAGAAAGTCCTCAACGCACCCCCTGGCAGTGCCCCCATCTCATTCAGTGAGCGAGCCAGGTAAGAGCAGCCCAATCTCACCAGGGTGGAAGGCGAAGGGGCTGGGAGAGACCATCTCCTCTCTGCCAGCCCACCTGCTTCAGTCCCACTCTCTGGAGAGCATGCCCAGCAGCAGTGCTATGGGGGAGCCCATCCCACCCCTGGGTAGTGACTGGGAGCTGGAGCCAATCTCTGCGCTCGCTTTAGGGGAGTCCCCGCTCCCACAGGGCTGATCCCACCTTGGAGCTGGTGGCGTTAAGGTCCCACCTCTCCCCAGTACTCTCTTCTGCCAGGGAGAAACTGCTGAAGAGGAAGACGAAGCCCCCATCCTTCTACCTGGACATGGGCTGGTTGGCAAACTACTGGGGCTGTGATGGGGAGCCGCGGAGGTGAGGGCAGGCTCTCTTGTTACCGACGGCTGCAACCGCTCCCTACCCAGCCTTTGTCCTGGCTCAGGGGCTGCCTCCCCATCACCCTGGCTGCCGGTCACAACTCTCTGCACTGGGTGATGAGGAGGGAGGATGCCGTGCCTCAGTTTCCCCGGCCACAAGCAAGGGGCTGCTGTGCTGCAGCCAAGCTGAAGCCCTGTGGGTGCCCCTTGAGTTTTGCAGGTACCACCACACAGCGCCCATCAACAGCTTCTTCAGCTTGCGGGAAGGCTTGGCCATGCTGGCAGAACTGGTGAGTGGCACCAGGCAGGCAGGGGAGCACCAGCAGCACCCATGGGGCTTGGAGGAACCGCCTGTCAGCAGCAGAGACCTTCTCTCCCCTTTCTGCCCACAGGGTCTGGAGACCTCGTGGGAGCGACACCAGACCAACTGCACCCAGCTGTGCCAGGGGGTGCTTGACATTGGGCTTGAGCTCTTTGTGGAGGAGGAGGTGGGTGCAGGGCAAGCCCACCACCAGCGCCACAGAGTAGGGGCAGTGTGAGGACACAACCCTGTGCAGCTGGATATGTGCCTGGGCAGATTTTAATGCCAGAGAAAAAACTCCCTCCTCAGTGATGCTCTCTCCTGGCAGTGTGCTGGGGTCACCAGGGTCCATGGGACTGAAACCAGTTCCTCTCTTCCTCATCAGAAGGCCAGACTTCCCACCATCACCACTGTCAGGGTGCCTGAGGGCTACAACTGGAAGGACATCACGGCCTTTTTGATGGACAACCACGGCATGGAGATCGCTGGAGGCCTGGGCCCCACGGTGGGCAAGGTGGGCAGAGTCCTCCCCTCCTGCTGCCCGTGGCTGGGCACCGAACCCTGCATCCAGCGCCACTCTGACAGCGTGCGGCTGGCTATGTCCCATTGCCCGGAGCAATCACACAGTCACCTCCTAATTGAATAACCGCGCACGTAATTAGCGGGGTGACGCCTCTTTATAGGGAACGGTGTGTTAAATAGGAGCGGGGGAGCTGTGTCGTGTGTCCCCAGCTCCACACGGGGCTGCTGAGGCACTCACAAATACTCACCCTTCCCCTCCAGGTCCTGCGCATAGGCCTCATGGGCTGCAACTCAAGCAGTGCCAACGTGGAGCGAGTACTCCGAGCCCTGCAAGATGCACTGAGGTGCTGCCAGCGCAGCAGGCTGTGAGCACCCCGGGCAGGGGGAGGCTGGGGAAGGTGGCCTGGCACTGCTTGGCTGCAGAGGGACCCCGCAGCACCCAGCAAGACAAGGCACAGTGGAAAGAAGCTGGGATAGCAGGGGCCGTGGAGGAGAAGGATGTGCTCAGTAGATTAAGACATGGCTTGAAACTGCTTCTCCCATTATTCCCCAGTGACCTGGCCCCTCAGTTCTTCCCCTTGCCCTGGCCCCAGTGATACTAAATCATAGAACATTTGGGGAGGTAGAAAGAAAGTTAGGCTTGGCAAACCCTGGGGAAAATGTTAAAAGTAGGCCCTGGGAAATGTTAGGCCTTGTGCTTGCTAAGATCATGTGAAACTGCACCTGTATAGTCAGTATATAATAAATGATATAATTGTTAGATGGGATTAGATAGAATTATTGTTTAAAGAATCATAAGAAACTATGTTAGGGGTTTGGGGGGATCATGAGAAATCCATGCTTGGGTAAAATCAATGCATACAATATAACAATGTAAGTTTAATAATTAATATGAAAGTTATATAACAATAAAGTATAAAAGCATGTTCAACTCAAAACCAAGTCGGGTTGGATTTGGGTCTGTGTACCCCTGACACCCAGAGCTCTTAATAAAGCACCTTCATATAACTATTCAGTGATTATGTGTTCCTGAATGCTAACACCAGGGCATGGTGACCTTCAGCAAGCTGACAGAGAGCTGCATGTAGGATATGACCACAGGTCCCTTCCCCTCCCATCACCAACCAATGCCATCCCCCTCCAGGTTGTGTACCATGAAGCACCCAGTGCCCAGGTCCACCAGGGCAGCCAAGAGGCTGTGTATGCCCCCCAGCTACAGCAGATGTGCTCTCTTCCCCTGCCACCTTCCCTCAATAAATGACACAGCAGCACACTGATCCCTGGCCCTATAGCTCTCCTTGCACCCCACCAGAGTTTCGAGACACTCTAATGGGGCAGCAGCAGGGTCCCACTCAGCTCTGCTGAGGGATTTCTTGAAGGATCTTGCTAAGGAGCTGGGACGCTGCTGAGCGGCGTGCGCTGTCCTGGATCCGGTACACCTGAAACTAAAGGCAGGTGGGAAGTGAGGGGAGAGGGCTTCCCGCTCTGCTTGAGCTCCATGCCCCAGCACTGCCAGCCTCCCACAGCCTCCACAGCATGCCAGAGGGTTCTGTGGGGACAACTGCAGTGATCCCAAGCTTCCTAGCTCAGGTGGCTTCTGGTGCTCCCTGGCGAGTTCAGCTGAAGGGCCGGGGTTACCTGGCTGAGTAGCATGTCAAAGTAGGCTGTGTCCCAGTAGGACCCATCCTCGGTGGGGAGATGCAGGAGGGCTCGGGTTTCTGTGTCTGCCTGCCAGCTGCCACTGAACCCATGGAGGCCAAAATGGAAGCGGAGGAAGCGCTGGGGGTCCCAGGCAAAACTCTCAACTTTATGGTAGAGGGAGGCAAGATCTGGGGCCATTCCTTGGAAGAGGTTTTCCCCTGGGTTCAGGAAGTGGGGCAGGTGCTGGGTGGCCAGGCAGCGGAGAAGGATCACCAAGAGCCGGTAGACAGAACCTTCCAGGTCCTGCCAGTCCTCCGGAGAGGGGAAGAGCTCTGTGCTCCACAGCAACACCATCTGTGCAGAAAGAAGAGCACAGGATCAGGCACAAGGCATGATCCCAGCAAGGCTGTCCCTTCACACCCTGCAGGTCACCATGCAACCACTTGTGGGGCCAAATCCATGGGGGCTGGAGCAGATGATGCTTTTCTGAAGGCCAAATACATACATCTGCCCTTTTTCTTTAAAAAAAAACCACAAGCACCACCCCCAAAACATTAAAGAATGCATCACAAAGCAAAGGACACAGGATTTGGGTTACTTGGAGCTGGAGCCATTCTGTAAGCAGAAAACATCCTTGCACCCTTCTTGACCCTTGGCTTGGAGAGCCATCAAAAGGCAGGGCACATCTGGATTGTGCAACCACATGCTGTCCCCAGCATGGCCAGTTGGCATGGCTCCAGAATGTTGAAAACAGGTTGAGTGGGGAGAGGAGGTTTTTTTCTCATCAGAAACACCACCCTCAGCCCTGCACAGGCATGTCACAGCACACCAGGGCATGGGACAGCCTGCAGCATGGCACAGGGGTTCCATCCCACAGACACAGGCAGCCTGGGCCAGGGGATGATGCCCTGCACACCAGTGCAGAGCCCCAGCTCTGAATTCACAAAGTATCTCCAGCTGGAGGCTGCTGGTTCAAGCCAAGGAAGAAGGATCAAAGCCCTCTAACCATGGCTGGCAGCAGCACCCATCCTTTTGTGGCACAACCATGAGCTGGTACACCCCAAAACACTGCAGGCACTAGCCCTTGTTGGGGTTCTTGTGCAGGGGAGCAGCTGTGGCTCTGCTTGCCCAGAGAGCCATGGTCCCAGCCAGCAGAACCAACCTACCTTCAGGTGGTTGAAGGTGAGACTGCCTTTCCCATCCTCCCCTCCCCAGTCCTGGTCACGGAGCTGGTCGAGCAGGCGGAGGCTGTCCAGACGGGGTCCCCCCAGGGTGTCCACTTCTCGGAGCAGCTTCAGGATGGGAAGGTGAGTGGAGGATCTGGAGGAAGAGAGTGGCATCTGGTGGGAGGGGCGCTGAAGATCCTTCCAGGATGGGGAGAGTATGCCTGCAGTGACTTGGTGTGTGGGAATACCTCCATGCCACACATGGGGTCCCAGTCCATGCAGCATCTCAGATCTACCTCCTGCTCTTGCCTCTGGCAGAGCAGAACTTCAGAGGTGTGGAGTGAGATGAGAACACTGCTAAGCAGCTCCTGCCTTCCCAGGAGGATCAAGAGTGGAGTAAAGTGGGGTTGTGCTCCCCTACGTGTAGTGGGGAGGGGAGGCTGGGTTGCTCCCCAACAAGGGGCCAAGCAGCCAGCTGGACCACTTTGTTTCCAAAATAAACATGGTCTGGTCCAGCTGGCTGCTCAGCCCCACCATGGGGCTGGGTAGTTGTGCTGGCAGGCAAGATACATCAGCCTAGTCCTGTTCTGTCCTCCAGCCCACCTTGTGAGGCACCTCATCACCCTGCTGCTGCCAGGTGCCTAGACTTGTCTCAGAAGCCCAAGCAGGGACCTGAGAGATGCCACCCTCTGTACACTCAGGGTGCAGCTCCAGTGAATAATTATAGGGGGCTCCTCCAGTTGCATTCCCTCTCTTCCCCTGAGCTGTCTGAAACTTGTCTGAGATTTCTTTCTCCAACACAGGGAAGGGGGTTTGCACATCATGGGGGGCTGACTTCAACCCCTGCTGACATGTCCCTGCCCTTTCCCAACCTCTTTTTGCCTACACCCAGCAGTGCAGCCCGCCAGGGGAGATCCCTGGCACAGGATCACCCTGCTGTGCATGCAGCCGTGCCTCTCACCTCCAGCAATGGGGAGAGGCAGGAACAAAGTGTGCCTCTTCTGTGGCCTTCCTGAGGCTGCCTTCAGGGAAGCCACTGTCTCTCTGTCGCCTCTGGAGCCAGAGTGGCTCTTGCTGCCTCCTCACCACAGGAACAATGTCAAAGCGAATGGTCTTCCAGCTGCCACGGATCAGCAGGGAGAGCTCCATGGCATCTTCCTGCAGGTTTTCAGCACTGATGTCACCTAGATGCAGAGGGTTTGGAAGCAGTGAGGAGGTTAGCACAGCCAGTCCCGCAGGCTGAACCAGGTGTGTGCTGCAGCACCCGTGGCCATGTCCCACCCCACTCGACAATGCTGCAGTCTGGCTGCAGTTCCTCGGGTAAATCCCTTCTCCCAGTCATGCTGGGGTGGTTTTACAGGAAGAAGAGTTGCAGGCCTCAAGGTCAGGCACGGCAGGAAGTCTCAAGCGATCAAACTGAGCTGTGCTTCTGGGTGGCTGAACAGAGCCAAGAAAAGCAATGCAGCCCGAGAAAAATGGATCAGAAAAGGTTCATTGCTTTGTGCGGGTGGAGGAGGATGAAGGACACTGGCTTGGCCACAGAGAAAGGAGGGATGGTGGACTTCCTTTGACTGGGTTAGGAGACTTTCAGACCCACTGGTCCTCTCACATCACCCTTTCACCCTGGTTGAGCTTTACTTCAAGAAACACACTGGGAGATGAAAGTGCATGAAGAAGCTTAAGGAACTGCTATGGGCATTTCCCAGGGTCCCCTCCCACCACATCTTTTCCAAGGACACTGCTGCCAACTGGGGCTGAGGTGTTCACAGGGTCAGACCCATGCCCCAGGGTCCTGCTCCAGCTCTGACACACTCCGAGCTCTGACACACTCCCAGCTCACTCTCCAAACAGCCTCCTCTAGGGAACAGGGGGCACTTGGAGGCCAAGAGGTGGAGGGGAGAATGTAGTTAGGGTAAACCCTAACTTAAGCACACCAAGTCCTTAAGCAAACCCTACCTGGGGACTAGCAGCAGGGCTGGGTGAACCCTGCACCCACCAAGAAGGGTGCCATCCGTCCCAGGTGAAGATTCCTGAGGATGACTGATGCCCTGGGATGGCAGGGAATAATAGTTTGCATCTCCCCTTCCTTAGCTGGAGGCAAAGCCCATCCGAGCACACAGTGAGGTGCTTGCTCACCTGGCCTGCAGGTGGGCCACATGCCCAGGAACATACCTCCCATCATGTTTGCACAGGGATCACTGCCAAGCTGGGAAGCTGGGCAGGCACTGGAGGCAGCTCCTGGCTGGGAAGCACGCTGCCAGTGTACGTACCTGGCTGAAGCAGGAAGAGGCGTTGGCAATGCACGATGGCTGAAACAAGGAGCTCTTTCAGATGCTGGAGGATTTTGCCTGGAAGCAGGCACCCCGCACCACCTCCGTGCTCCATCACATCCACAACACCAGTCCAGTCCTCCAAACCAGTCCCTGGAGAGCACACTCCCAGATAGCAGGTGTTCAGCTCTGGAGGATGTCTGCCTGGGGTGTCCTTGGGCTGGCACGCCAGCACACGCAGGGTATCACCGTCAATACGCACGGGCATCTCGAGAGCGACAGCGTCCTCAGAGGCACAGAGAGAGAATTCCAAGGCTTCCAGGTTCCTGGCGTACTCCACGAGGAAGCGGGGTTCCCTGGCATGGACACTCTCCAATAGGGTGAGCAGGATGTCCTCGGCCCGCTGGAAATGCTCCATCCGCTGCCTCTCGCGGGACACGACCACCCCAAGGTAGCTGTGCCAGAGGGAAGTGTTGGCTTCCATGGCAGCTCTGCCGCTCTCTATCGCTGCCCCGAGCAGCAGTGAAGGTGCGTGGGCAGGGAGGGCAG